AAGACTGTGATTGAATTCCTTATATAGAGAAAAAATCTGTTACCAAATCCTTAAAGAAGAAGGAATCCTACTACAATAAGAAGTTGGAAATTCCCTTTGAATTCTACTCAGACAAGCAGATAGCAATTTTGTTTATTCCTTTCTAAGTTAGGAATTCTACCCCATTAAGGAATAGTCAAGTCAACTCCTACTAGGAAGTGTTAGAACTGATTTGTCTTTCTTGCATTGTGTTTCAACCAAATTTCCATTTTTTTTTTGTTTTAATTTGTTTCAGTTGGTTCTTTCATTGTTTTTCTTGTTCGTTCATTCGTGTCTTTTTGTTTCTTTTAACTTTCATTACAGATTCATTGGAGTTAGATTACTGCAAAATAACTTGAATTCAGCTTGTTTAGTTCAATAACGAATTGAAAGTGGAAAGTTAAGTGAGGGAAAAAAGCAAGAGGTGTGAGCAACACTTGAGAGAAAAGCCAAGTTTTATATAGTGTGCAAAACATGAGCGTTGAGTGCCATTCTGCAAGAGAGTGGAGTGAAACACATAAGGGAGTATTATGAGGTCCTTTTATTTCTATTTCTAACATTCCTTGCAGGTTTCAATCATGTCAAGTAGTGATGATAATTCAACCACTAGAAAACACTGTGTGGATGAATCCTTCATGCTCAAAGCAATGCAATAACAATTTCAGAGGCTGGACATCATGTTTGGTGAGATTAAAGATAAAATGGAGAAGCAAAATGTAGCCATAGTTAAGTTATACCAAATACAGACTGGAAGTTTGAATTTGTGTAGAAATGATGCTAATGATGATTTTGATGACAATTATGAAGATGCATTCAACAATGATGCCCATAAATCAAAATTCAGCATGGACAGAATTATGAGAGGTAGAGGGAGCCAAAAAGGTAGGTTTAACCAAAGAGAGCAAAATCTGCCAAGGTAGAGAGATCGGCAAGATCATGACTTAGGCAGCATCAAGATGAAGATTCCTCGATTTCAAGGCAAAAATGATCTAGATGTGTATTTGGAGTGGGAAAAGAAGGTGGAATTGGTGTTTGATTGCCATAACTATTATGAGGAGAAAAGGTGAAACTAGCAATGGTGGAATTTACCAATTATGTTGTGGTGTGGTGCGATCAGCTTGTGCTTAGTCAACGAAGAATTTGAGAGCATCCTGTTGACACTTGGGAAGAGATGAAAGCTGTGTTGAGAAAACAATTTGCTCCTAGTCACTACTACCACAATCTCTATCAATGATTATAGAGCCTTACTCAAGGGTCCAAAAGTGTTGAAGACTATCACAAGGAGATGGAAATTGCAATGGTTAAAGCAAATGTGGAAAAGGACAGAGATGTTGTACCTATGATTTTGATGATTACAAAATACATTTGAGTGACTAATTGATTTATTTAAGTGTGTAGTTAAATTGTCAATATACTGCAAAGTAAGCAAAATGAGATTGCATTAAAGAGGGCTTAAAGGGTAAAAATATGCAGAGAACCGATTTAAGAAAATTGCAACTGGCTCTAGGAAGCCAAAATGCAGAGAGCCGGCTGTAGATTTTGTTGAGCTGACTTTACAAGCCAGAAATTCAACTGCTGTTTTGGCACGTGCGGAAAATGGAAGTAGAGCAGGTTCCAACTTTGTAGCCGGCTGTGAGGGTGCATTTAATGCGCAACGGTCGAGTTATTTGAAGATTATTTAATATGTTTAAAGTTGGAATCCTAAAGCCGTCTCTAGGCTTTGCAGTCGGTTGTGGAAGAAAACAGAATGTGTAAGAATCCTGCAAAGCCGGCTTCAGAAATGGTGAGTCGGCTGTGCAGAGCCAGCTCTAGGAAATTAAGCCGGCTCTCCTA